CTTTAACAAAATTCTTTTAAATGTTCCCTCTGTATCCACAGTAGCACAGATGGTGTATGAACTTGGGGTACTTGCCAACATTCAGGTTGGCCAGATGCTGCATGAGTGCGATGCTGCTACACTGGCATGGGACTCAACAACCAAACAAGGATCCCATATTAATGAAGTTCATGTGACTCTTATGACATCAGGTCGTAAACAGTCTTTAACTTTAAATATTAGGGTTATTTCAGGGTCTACAACAGAACAGCTGTACCGGCACGTCTTTGAGGCTCTATCTGATGTTTCTGAGATGTACTGTGACGCTTTTAAGATTCCAGTAGCTGCTTTCAAGGAGGCAGTGAAAGGTAAAATAAACAGCACCATGACGGACAGAGCTGCTGTCAACCATTGTGTGAGCCAAAAACTTCAGGGGGACATCGGATATTTGGCCGACCTGAAGTGTATGGTACACCCATTGGATGGTCTTGCCAGAACTGCCCGTGATGTATTGTACAAGCTTGAAAAGGATCACATTACAGAGCAAGACAATCAGAGAACAGCCTTGGGATGTCGTGCTGCAATGCTGATTCACCAGATATCAAAATTGCGTCACAAGGATGGGTCTGGTGATCCAGGTGCATTCATTGCTTTTTTGCAGAACAAAAATATCAATCCCAGCATCTTCAAGCGCTATGTCGGGAATCGTTTGAATGTCATGTTCCATATGGCAGCGGTCATTTATTTGCACAGAGATTTATTGACACAGTTTGTCGAGCACAAACGGCCAAAATTACTTTGTGTTAAAATACATGAAAACTTGACAGACGAGAGAGTCCTGCTTCACTTGCAGGTGCTGGGATTATATTCACGTTTTGTCACAGGGCCTGGATGCAGCTGTTATATACAGACAACAGTGAAATTGGTCATTTAGAAGCAGTAAGTCAGGTGAAGGATTGTCTCGAAGGCTTGAAGATAGTTGAAGCGAAACCAGAGTACCTTATAGAAACGGAACGTGATGCTTTTGGTAGGGATTTGCGTAAGACAGCATTGAACCAACCTCAGTTTCCATGTGAAAATTTTAACTTAGTATCCAAAAATTTAGCGGAGGCTTTTATTCAAACACTTAATAGGCAGTTTAAACCTTATTTAGATGGGCCCTTATCTAATCCGTCTCCTGAATTGATTAAAAAGACATCATCTGCAGAATTCCATAACATAGGGGCTGAGAGAAATCTTGCAAGGGTGGATTCAGTGATGCAAAAAGCTCCCAATGCCACCATGGGGTTCATTGATGCAAAGGTGAAGGCTGCCCAAAACAAAACATTGCAATGGCTGCAGACATTTGATGACGACTTCCAAAAGTACCTGGTAGACTTTGCAGTTCGTCGTGGAGCTAAGGTGAGGCAGCAGCAGTCTGAGGTACAGAAGAAATGTCAGCAGGAAAAATTAGAGAAGTGGGACAAGGCACTTAGGGATAAATGTGAGAGAGATCTGACAGCAGAATTTAAAAAATCCAAGTCCATGTTTGCAATACTTGAGATAGATTTGTTTAAAAGTGTAGCTGAGGAGTCAAAAGATATGTTAAGGAATTTTTTTAGTGACACTAATGCTCTGTCAGGTGTGTTACTGCGGCACATCTGGAATGATGGAGAAAAGGACTGTGTTTACTTCGAGATGATAAGAAATGTGGACACAAATAAAATTCCTCTCAACACGGAAATCGAACTTTGTTCTTGGAAGGAGCACGAGGAACAAGCAGCAGAGACCTCCTTCACCTTGACAATGAAACAGTTTCTAGCAGACTTCGCCACTGGAGATTTGACATTTTGTTAAACTGAATGTCATATATAAAACAAAGCAATAGAAATAAATTAAGCATTTGTATGTTAGAGTAATAAAAAAGTCATGTAACACTCTCTTTTATCTTGCATTGTTTAACAATTTAATAAAGCACATTGTCTAGTATTATTTCAGAACAGCGTCAGGGATGATACAGGCTTCTAAGGGTAGAAGTAAGGCTATCCTCCGAATAACGGGTACAAAAGATGGCGGCCAATGCCGGCCAAAAAACAGGGCCTCAGTCATGTGTCAGTTTCGCGCTCCCGTCGACTTAATTTGCGGTTTTCCGATTACCGCCACCACTTAGAGTCCCTACGTCCCTCATGAGCGGCGTGGGGAAATCTTGCGGTGGTGGTAGTCGCAGGAAAACCGCAAATTAAGTCGTCGGAAGCGTGCGACTGACACGTGACTGAGGCTCTTTTTGGATGTTTTTGTGCCCATTATTCTGAGGATAGCCAGAAGTAAACTTCCAGACATGGACGGTGAAAAAAGATAAGTAGTTATAATTTCTTTATCTTATTTTTTATGGTTTGTTAGTATAAAATATATGTAATTTTTTCTTTATAGCAATTACTTACTTATTAACCTCAATCAATGCACATACAATTAATGAAATTGTTGTTTTAAAATGTTATATTGAATTGTTTGTGTGTGTGTATATATATATATATATGTTATTTATAGTTACTTTTTTTTCTTTTTCAGGCTTGCATGATTACAGAACTGTCAGCTTTTTAAACATGGACGAGTGAAAAAGGTAAGTCGTACAAACATTTGTGGCTAATGCTTTTTTCTGATGTATTGTTGCACAATTAATGAAATTGTTGTTTTAAAATGTTATATTGAATTGTTTGTGTGTGTATATATATATATGTTATTTATAGTTACTTTTTTTCTTTTTCAGTCTTGCATGATTACAGAACTGTCAGCTTTTTAAACATGGACGAGTGAAAAAGGTAAGTCGTACAAACATTTGTGGCTAATGCTTTTTTCTGATGTATTGTTGCACAATTAATGAAATTGTTGTTTTAAAATGTTATATTGAATTGTTTGTGTGTGTATATATATATATGTTATTTATAGTTACTTTTTTTCTTTTTCAGTCTTGCATGATTACAGAACTGTCAGCTTTTTAAACATGGACGAGTGAAAAAGGTAAGTCGTACAAACATTTGTGGCTAATGCTTTTTTCTGATGTATTGTTGCACAATTAATGAAATTGTTTTAAAATGTTATATTGAATTGTTTGTGTGTGTATATATATATATGTTATTTATAGTTACTTTTTTTCTTTTTCAGTCTTGCATGATTACAGAACTGTCAGCTTTTTAAACATGGACGAGTGAAAAAGGTAAGTCGTACAAACATTTGTGGCTAATGCTTTTTTCTGATGTATTGTTGCACAATTAATGAAATTGTTGTTTTAAAATGTTTTATTGAATTGTTTGTGTGTGTGTATATATATATATATATGTTATTTATAGTTACTTTTTTTCTTTTTCAGTCTTGCATGATTACAGAACTGTCAGCTTTGTAAACATGGACGAGTGAAAAAAGGTAAGTCGTACAAACATTTTGACGGAGACTTTTTTCTGATGTATTGTTGCACGATTATTTAAAAAAATTGTTTTTTAAATGACTACTGCATTATTTGTATATGCATTATTTCACTAATTTTTTTTTTTCTTTTTTTTTTTCAGACTTTTACCATGACGTAAACCTGTGAGAAAGATACAAACTTCTTTTAGTCATGTTACGAGAAGAGCGGCATTGGTGATTAATAAACAGATTAACATATACATAGACAATAAAGATTAATGCACAGATATGTTGATGGCTTGTTGATTGTTCTGTTCAGACTCCACCATTCAACAACAAAAATATAAATTAGACACCATATTGAAAAATAACTGACCAGAGAGCATGACTTAAATTATCAAATCAAAATTATCATATGACTTACATGATTGTTCTATCAGGGTGAGAAAAAAATTTGCTCTGGATATATATAATATACCCACAGCAAATAGTTTTCCCATATAACAAAAAAAAAAACATTAAAATTTTTTTTAATTAAAATATTTTTTCATGATAATTGGCGGCCATTTTTAAATAATATTAGTCGATATGATGTAATACCTAAAAATTTCCAGATATTCAGTTAGACATTGCTGCCCTGAACACAACAGTATCTGTTATCTTTGGTCTATTTTTAATACTTTAAAAGAACGTTATAAAGTTTACGAGAACATATCGACTGATGATTATGATAAATGGCGGCCATTTTGAATAATTATTAGTCGATATTGCGTAACTACTAAAAATTTTATGTTTATTCGGTTAAGCTTGTTGCCCTGAATCCAAAAATATATAGTTTCTAGGGTCTGTTTTAAATACTTTATAAGTTAAAGCAGTTTTTAAACACTACTCTAAAACTTCTGATTTCTGGGCAGCAAGTTTCAGCTCACTTTTATATTTTCTTCTTTGTTAACTTTTCCCACAAAAACTTCAATAACTCTGCTTAGACTTGACATAGAGGCATGAAAGAGGCACCGTTGGAAAGGGTTTTTCAATACGGATGCAGCTGTAGCTTGTACTTTTGTTTGACCAAAGTTGCTAGGTGAAGGAGAAATCCTTACAAGGCACGCGACAGGAGTGATATGTGACATTACATATCTCAACATAAACTACATATCTCAGCTCAGAAATGAAATACAAGCCTAAAAGAGGTACCGTTGGAACCCCCCCCCCCCCCCAAAAAAGTGCATTATCAGTAGTGAACATCTGTGAACATACGTTACGTCTACAGTTTAGAGGATAACACCAACTGTCTCTAATGCCAATTTATATCTTAATGATCTCAAAAAATTTAGTTTGTAGAATGACTGTCTACCTCTACCTAGTCTCTGACCTTTGAGTGTCCTCAATATTCAAATTAAAGAAAAAAATAAGTGTATTAAAATATATTTCTCGCGTTTTTAACACATATGACATATGCTAAGCAAGGCGAACAGAATTTTTTTTTTTTTTACAAGTTAGTAAAATGCTTCTAAGAAAAAAACTTTCCCTTCAATAGGAGAGTGAACACATCACAAGCATTTTTTAAATTCTTGATCATTGATTTAGTATTTATAATGACTCGACTGGGAAACAACAACAAATCATATCATGCAACTCACGCCTTGTATACAATGCTGGTAGAAAATTTGCTGCATTTTGATGAACGATGGGCGATGCAAAGGCAAATTTTGATGCCTTTGCCAACCCCAAACATGCCTGCCTCAGTCCCTGCATGATGGCGAACCGGCTAAGGACAAATGTCACGTGACAACAAAGAATTGTGGGTATGCCTATTTCTATGCGATGAACTTATTTCACAAACTCCCCAAATATTTTTACCCTATTCCTGTAAGTTAGTTGCGTATCCTTTAAGGGTCGTTGCAAAACCAACCCCAGAAATTTTGGTTGTTGTGATTTTTCAAGGCAAATTTACATCAAGTAGTCTGCCATTGCTACTGGACGCTCGGCTTCTTGATACCACTGTCTAAACCAACGCAAGGCGCAAGGCTCGCAGCTAGGATCGAACCCAGCACCCCGGCATTACTAAGCTCGTTCGCAACGCCAAAGCCACAGACGCAGACACTATTCATATAGCATTGTTATAACAGCAAATCCTAATAAATATAGACGCTTTGTCTGCTTCGGATAATATAAATTGTTTACAAATGTATGAATAACTCACACCCAACCCTAACCCATAATAACAAAATGTTCCACTGAAACCTTAACAAAGACTGTCCCACTTGGCTTAGGGATAGCCTGCCAACAGTCCAACCACTGTAAGTGGGATTTCCTCCAAATCATCAATGGGCAGCACTGATATGAAATCAACTACAGAAGGAGAGATTAGCAGATTTTATCCACACCAGAGTTGGATTATAGTGTATACAGATGGTTCCGGGAGACGCAGGCGTCGATGGGAATGAAAGAGCTGACAGGTTGGCTGGATCCGCTATCACTACCGACGGTCAGCCTATGGATCATGCTGATATTATTAATGCCCTCAGAGAAATGGGAAGAATGGAGGACTTTGATGGCAGTGAATCCACATCACTCGCAGAATGGCAGACTTTGGGAATTAAGATCGGCACAGCAAAAAACGAGACGCACACTAGACACGCCAGAAGACTTGTTAATCAACATAGAACTGGTACTATTAACCATCAGACGTTGGGAATTATACTGAGGGAAGGATCTGAGCACCAATGGACATGTCCTAAGTGCAATGATGATAACCCAACTAACTAACTAACTAACTAACTAACAGATGGTTCAGCCAAGAGAGCAGTAAAAGACTAAGGAGGAGAAATATACATAGAATGCCCAAATGGTTTCAGAATCAGCCAGGCTGTACCAACAGATTCATATTCCTCCAGAGCAGAGGCAGAAGCACTTCTTGCGGAATGTTTTTTTTTTTTCTTCTGAATTGACAATGGCACTGCAAATATAGCAGAGTGGTCTTTCTGACTTAGACTATGTCAGTTCTACAAGCAATTGTTAACCCAAGAAACACTCAGTTTGTAGACTTGACACAAGAGTTGATTCACTTGGGCTCTTCAGTAAAACAATGTGTACTGCAGTGGATTCCGGATCAATGTGGCTTGGAAGGCAAAGAAATAGCGGACAGAGTGACCAGAAGCGGCAGTGGCATGGTACAATCAAAAAGCGACTTAACCCACCAAGAGACGAAAACATTAATACAACTTAGTACCCAAGAAAAGTGGCTGGATACACACACCAAATTCTCTCCCCAAGACTCACTTCATTGCCTTTCTAGAGAGGGACAGTGTATTATATTCAGACTAAGGACTGGACACAACAGTCTTCGTTAACATTTGTTCAAATTTTTCGGTGTAGGTAACACCGAAACGTGTCCTAGCAGTGTGGCACTTGAAAATGCTGAGCGTGTGCTCCAGCACTGTCAACTGTATGCTGACAACAGAGACGCAATCTGGCCTGTCCCAGCCACAATGAAGACAAAGCTGTATGGTACACAAGAAGATATGGACTCCACGATAGCTTTCAAAAAGCTACCGGCCGCCTGATAGAAGTTTTCTTATAGAAGGATCACAGAAGAAGAAGAACTCACTTTCTTACTGTGGTTTAAGCAGTTGAGATCCAACAGTTCATGACTGAATTGAATTAATCGCTCACCCCTTTCTTGTTATCACCAGTCAGTCAACCAGTTTACAAGGTGCTGTCTCCACAGCGAAGGTTGGTTGCAATGATGTTTCTCAACACGCTCAATCTCTCGTCTTGTTTGCGCATTCTTCTTCGCTTCAAATAAATTAATCTATTCTGCATTGCTGTCCTAGCATGAACTTCACTGCCTTTTGTGTTTCGCTTAGTATCCCATAAAGTTAGCCTTCCGCCAATCTCTCTTGGCTTGAAGTTTTGCCTGAAGAAAGTGCACCTGAGACAGTCTTGGAGGATATGATCCGTTGTCTTAGGTGCCAGTCCACAGGTACACATGGCTGATTCACTAGTCTTAAACTGTGTGTACATGTGGCTGCTAAGCCGATTGTGCCCTTGTCTAAGGCGTAGATTAATGACTTGCTGTAGTCTATTCATAATATGGAATCTTCTCGTGTCAGTTTTGATGGCTTTCTGATTTATTTGAAAATTTTCTTCTTCGGCTGATAAGAGTCTGGTACGTCAGGCTATTCTTAGGTTGCACCTTGCTTAGCTAGTTTATCAGCTCTTTCATTTCTGGGAATTCCACAGTAGGACGGTATCCATTGCATAGCTAGCTACCTTACACCGACTGCCTAGTTCAGAGAGTAGTGTTCGTATACCCGAAAATGTTTCAGACAGGAGTGCCTGGAGTACGGTTTTTGTATCTGTCATGAATACCACTGATTGCATTTAGTAGTTTCCCTGCTGCTGTCTTGGTGGCTTGAATTTCTGCATCGTATTTGTGACCAAAGCCTTCTCTAATAAAAAGAGAAGGCCGTGTTTGTAACAGTGGTTTCCTGTTCTCATGCCCAGCTCGCTAGCGCAGTTGGCTAAACCAGACTGAGCCCCTACAAAATGACAAACTCATTGTTGTCCGGGTTCTACGCAGAAAGAATTACGGTATCTGTCATGGAATCAAGACCAGAGGGTTGCGATATCCGTAGTACTGAGCCAAAGGTTTAACAACTCATGGTTTCTGGATACTTTGAAATAAAATAGAGTTCTCTATGTACCCTCCTGCTCCTCCATTTCTGACTGCATTTTGTGCTGACCAATCTGTGTAGACACGAACCCTAAGATCCTGTGGGTATCATCATCAAGTAGACCGAGGGTGACTGTTATACGCTGCACAATGTATTGTTCTTCCTTGCCGAATATCCTTTTCAGCTCTGTCTGGATGTGTACTGGAAGCATAAACCTCTCCAGGGAGTCCGTTCTGGAATAGCATTGAAGGGACTATCAGCTGCATTCAGATCACTGGTTTGTTTGCAGAGCCATTTGGCCTGGGTGATGAAACTGTTTCTTTTTTTCATCCCACCATAGCTAGATTTTGGAATTTTTCATTCATAGGGTGTCTTGGCATACTAAGAAACTTTTCTGCTTGTATTAGCAGCGCACTCAGACTAATGTTCGTCTATCTCTTAATGTTGTTCTTCCACTTGTAACGTTGTCTACCTCTTGCTGTCTTGTCGTCGATCTTTCCCTCCAGTGTGGCTTTTAAAATTAACTCCGTTCAGCCGTTAGGCCATATTTATGTCCCGGCTATATTTAGGGCCCCCGGCAAAAGCCAGAGTGGGTTTTAAAATAACTAAAAATTGCATCCCAGGTGGGAACGGCATGATTATCAACAGCAATAAAACACAAAAAATATCAGGCTATTTATAGAAGAAAAAACTCATATACACCCAGACAAGATGGCAGGAGAAGAATGCAGCTCTCAGCCTGCAGAAACGTGTGTGTGTGTGTGTGGGGGGGGGGGGGGAAGCTATGGCATCCAATAAAGAGTCTAAATGAGGATAATAATACCAGCCATGCCAACACTGTCATTGAAGATGGTAGAACAACTTTCACTGGTAAACAAGTAGCAAACCTGCTAACTGATCGTTTTACAGAGGATCGCAAAATCTTTATGTCTAGATCGAGAGAAAAAGAAGTGATTAGAGAACTGAGGAAAATCAACAAAAAGCAAAAAGATAAGGAAGATAAAATGAATAAACTCGTCAGTCCCAAAGAATTTGAATGTGCATCAAGAAACCCTAAGAAAACGAAGGCACCTGGACCTGATCGAATAACAAATGAAATGATTGTACACTTGGAACCATTTGGTAGGCAATGACTCTTAGATTTTATAAATCAATCCTGTGCCCAGGGAATACTTCCTAAGGAATGGAAGGATGAAGAAATAGTTCCTACATACATAATGAAGCTATGCGGGTGATCCTGGGATGTACAAGAGACACCCAGCCTGTGTGCATGCAATACATCTTTGCAGTGCCGACTATTGCAGATAGGCTAAATGTGTCACAGGCTAAATCATACCTCAGAGTAGCAGCAGACAAAGAACACCCTATGTATGAAGCTTTCGCTGCAGGTAAGGGTCAGAGGCTGAAAAGGAGAAAATCGCGGATGGCTCACGCAGAAGACACAATAAGACAAGTATACATGCTGGAGAACATTGGGCGAGGAGAGGAGTGGGTCAGAGTACCAGAGAAAAAGTCTGACCTGTGTAGGGTTATGACCACATTCGGAGTGCAGAGAGTGGCCAGCGGGTGCTATGGAGGTGGAATTCCAACAGTTCATTCACGACGAGGTGATCTGATTATCTATACAGATAGTTGGGTGCTGAGAGGAAAGAGAAGTGCCTGGGAGTTCGTAGAAAAAGCCAATGAAAAATCTTTAGTGCAAAATAGCCTAGCGTACGACACCACAACATCTAGCATGAGAATGGATGTGGAAGCAGTAACTGCGGCTCTCTGGTGGCTAGAGAACAAGATGCATAGGCATGTTGCAATTTTAACAGACCTTGAAAGCATGCTGAGAAAGGCGAAGACAGGATTGCTTCGAGCAGAGTGGCAAGCTACACTGGGAAGGTCACGGGTAGTAAACACGCTTTGGATCCTTTCTCCGGGATTTGATGGCTTGGTGGGTAATGAACAGGCAGACAGATTGGCTGGATCTGCACCACTGGGTGGTGAATTGATACATAACAAGGCAGATGTGATCAATGCTTTTTTGGAACAAGCAACGGAATCAGTAGAAAAAGAGGATTATTATGGCGTGGAGAGAATGGGGCACCTGGGTGTAACCAGTGTGTCTTATCGGCTCACTACACTCAGAGGAAAGGCAAGAATCCCCCGAGTGCTGTGATGTCAATTCTTGACTCAGACTAGAATAGTACAGAGAACCTGTAGTCCATTTAATTCAACAACTTAACACAAAAATTGGCAGATGGATAGACAGATTCCCTTTTCCAGAAGAGCAGAATGTTAGAAAGGCCTGTGTGCCCAGTTTGCAATCCTGAAAATAAACTTAATCTGTTTGTTCGTTCGTTCGTTCACGAGCCGTTCATTATCAGTTGGTAGAGAATTTAGTGCACATTTTAGTTTTAGCTTTTACAACGTAGCAGCATCATAAGGGCGTCAACCCATAGTGCTCTGTTCTACCTCTAGCTCAAGCCTGTGCCCTAAGAATTTCAGCGCAGTGCACGAACTCCGTAGCACCGGCGAGGATTCTTAAATAGTTTGGGTAGATTTTAAACTTAAAATTTTGCCCGGGCAACGCCATTAGGCAACTCTTTTAGACCATTTCTAGATTATATTAAAAGACAAAGAATAAACTTCTTGGGCCATCTAGTGAGAATGCAGTCATGCCAAACTGACTGCATACGAGACTTTTTACAGCAGAACATCTTGGAGGAAGGCCAGAGGAAAATCAAAAAAGACATGGATAAGTGGTGTAGCGGAAACCTGCAAAAAGATGACCAAAAACATCACTTAAGCCCTCCGATAAACGCAGGACAAATACCGAAAACTACTACACCGTGTTATAACCTGGTATCAGTGAGACGACAAAAGAAGTAGTATTAGTAGTTTGTAAGATGTTATAGGGTCCCTTTGCAGTCTTCTTTATCGAAGTCCAAATAATTTACTTCCTGCCTCAATGTTTTCATTAGCAACGAAGTGGTAAGTTGAGGGCTACCTAAAATTAAAAACCAGAAATTTATGGATTATCACTTATCATAGACAGTAAGTACACATTAACAGATGTTTTGTGAATTTCGCTATTTAATACAGCAATTAAACCGAGTTAGGTTGAGCGACGAACCAAAATCACAGCACTTGGGGCATCCCCATTGTATATCGCGCTTCCGTAAAACTCGTTCCAATTTGTGCATGCTGTATAAGTTATACTGTAACAGTTTTAAGAAATATCAAACTCTCCAAGTCTACGTATGTTCGTATCTTTACAATCCCCATGTTGAAAGAAAAAAAAAAAAAGACATTTGATAATGTATCGTTTAGTATCCAGTGTGCACTACTTGACATTAAATATAACTTAAAAGTCTTTGAGAAATAGATATCCACAAATTTATGGTTTTTGTTTTGCATCCTAAAGATCTTAGATTACTGCCTAGATCTTCAGTCCCCCCCCCCCCCCCATGTGCTGACTGTGAAAATATGAGAAATATTCCTTTTTGACTGCCTCACAGCAGAAGCGTATACTTAAACAAAATCAGATAGTATTTTATTTTTTTAAATAATTAGGCTATCTTTCGAATAACGGTCCCATACGAACTACGCAGACAGTTAACCCAAACAGAGCCTCATTACGTCGTTACAAACATTTGAAATCTGTAAATCGGGAAATATAAAGAACGAAAAGTATCGGGAAAATGTGGGAATTCTAATACTTACCGATATTGAAATCCTCTATACATGAAAATTGTGGCACAGAAGTTGCAAATAGTGCACAAATATCTGTTCTTTCTCGCTGTCGGCCATTGCAGCTCAGCACGGCTTGTCCACGATTCTCGTTCCGGGCGAGACATGATCAGCTGTAATGCGCGGTTTAGTGTACGCGCATGTGGCCTCAGGACAACTTCAAACCAGCAGCCGCCACAATGGCGCTGGTACTTTCGACAGAAGAAGTAGCTCCTGTAAATTGTTGACTTTTTTCCGGTGACTATGGTTCCACCTCTGAGAATATCCCCTGCGCCGCGCGTAGCAAATACATTGAAGGAAGATGCAGGAGCTGCGGTAGCTGCAGCTCGTGAGTCCTAGCCATCTAGTTTAGCCCCACCGCGCCACGCGTAGCGGCGCGGGGATACTCTCGGAGGTGGCACCATAGTCGGCGATAAGCGGTCGGCAACTTACATATAACTCGGGCCGTGCCGTAGGATAGCGCTATCGGAAGTATTCTTGCGTGTCGGAAATTTTTTTCGTCTGCAGTTAATCCTAGTTTTGCCGCTGTGTAATCGCAGTAAAAAATCTGTTGCGTTCTGCGAAAATGTTGCACGCAGTTAATACTACTTTTGATACGGCTGAATCGCCGCAAAAGAAATGCGACTTTTACATATGTGTGAGGCTCTGTTTGGGTTATGTGTGTGTTGTGAGGCTCTGTTTGGGTTAACTGTCTGCGTAGTTCATATGGGACCGTTATTCGAAAGATAGCCAATAATTATAATCATATACAATTACAATTATGGTGTGTTGGTTTTAGTTACAAGTATGAGAGGAAGTTGAAGCACTTGCACTATGTATAAGAGAAAACCTCACACTTTACCTTGAGCACCAGCAGGCTCTGTGCTGGTTTTATGGAACCTCATGAAAGACTCCTGCAATACATGCACATCATGCACCATGGGTTATGGTTTATATTTCTGCCTGAACCTTGATTTTGGGGGCTTTTGAAGTTGCTGGCCTCCAGAGATGCAGTGTTAAGTAAGCCTCTGGCATCTGTCTACTCACATCCAATGCAACTTTGATAAATCCTTCAAAAACTAATTTAAAAAATGACTGAAGACAACTGGCTGACTCCTATGAATTACAAACTTTTGTTTAATTTCTATCAACTGAGAATTGTGCAAGTCTAAATACAGTTATGTCTAGCTGATAACTTATGTTGAGATGTGTGTCTATCAAAAGTCTTAGTGAATCACAGTCAGGGTTCAGTTGTTTATTATTCAGATGGTCATATGGGAAATTATTTGACATCACACACTCAGGGCTTGGCGGTATTAGCCCTGTCTCCCTCGTCTACAGCCAGTTACTCTATATATCATCTGATTAAGTACTTGTCTCCCCCCCCCCCTCCCAGTCTTGAGTCTCAGGTGGTGCCAAGAGCCCACTGACACTCCCTGCAGCAACTTCTTCCAGGTGTGGGTTTTCAGTATCTTCCATTTTACTTGTTACCTTGTCCACAGGTGAGAGATCATCTTTACCTTGTACAGCTAGCTGGTCCAGCCAACCAGTCTGCCTGCTGCATTCTAAACACACCTGCATGGCTTTGGCAAAATATTCATGTGACTCTCATTACTGGCAATCTCTGGATTGATGCCACCCATTCTGTGTGAAGAAAACCTGACTCCACCTTCTTGAGCATACTTTACAAAGGCAAAACTATGACATCCTGTAGGGTTGAGATTTTCTCCCTCCACTGGAATGCCACAGGTACAGCCTCAGCCTCTATTCTAACACTGGATGTAGTGCTGTATACCAAGCTCTCCTCAGCCTGCCTTCACCACATTCTTTTGCAGTGAAGCCCCACACACTCTTTCTGCTTCTGGCCACATCTCCTAATCACATTTTCTGACTTTGAGTTGCTCCCTATCATCTGTTGAACCTGCATGTTGAAAAAGAATGTACCCAGTAATAAAGGTCAGCCCAGGTTGAGTAGGAAGCTCAATGTATGGATATGAGGTTAAGCAGTCATTTGCAGGATGTGACAGTTTCGTGTGTGAGCCCAGTACCAGAGCACTGTGTGCTGGCTCTGTATTTATGGAAGCTTCCTTTGATGGCTCGGAATGCCCACGTTCTGTCCCTCCTTCTTTTGTGGGCTGACCAGTCAGTACGTAGCTGCCCTTTATAGGTCCTTTAGGGGCAAATCAGAGACATACTTATGAGAAGAAGTCAGTCCTATAGTAATACAACTTGTATGTAAATGCGGTGCATAACAAAATACATATTTATGTATTCTTATTTTATAAATGAATGTATACACACATACATTTTGTGATTTCAGAAAATGACAGACATACAAGACAACATAAACTTGCTGAAAGCACTACCTGAAGATGCTGTTAGTGAAAATATCAAACTACGGTCAAGAATAGATGAACAGTGCAAACTCATTATGATTCTCAAGCAGAGAGCAGATGAAGGGGCATCAAGAATCTGCACACTTGAAAAAATTAATGAGGAATGTATGGAATTTAGAGATCAGGTCTGATGTTAACTAACTTAAATAACTGTAATACAAATTTTGCAATTGTGCTAGAACCAGATATACTAATTGATAAAGTAGAAAAGGTCACCCAGATATAAAGCACCAGGAGTTGATAGATTACCAACATAAATAATGCAAGCAGCAGCTGATAGCAACATCTGATAGCTACAAAGAATCTGTAATGCATCATGGGTACAACAAACTGCTCAATTGACTGGCAAACATGCAATAGCTATACCACTATAGAAGATCCAAGGGAGCAAGCAAAAAGGCAGTCCTAACTGAAGATCTCTCTTGTAAGATGTGTTGGGAAAATGTAGGCTAAAGTAACAGAAAGCTGAGATCAGTGATAGAATCACAGCTGACAGAAGAACAGATGGGCTTTAGTAGAAATAGAGGCTACACAGATGCAATCTTCCATTCTGAAACGAAAAGAAAGATTACCCATGACATAAACTGAGCGTAAAAAATGTGCAGATGTCACAGCCTAGCTGTAAACCACAACACAACATGCCAGTTGCCCTGTTAAGGGCTAGACAAAAAAAATTTATACCATCCAGCGGGAAATCAAACACTGGTCACCCGCGTGACAGGCGGAATACTCACAACTACGTTACCAAAGACTTGAGAATCTGGTAGAAATGAAATTATATAATATTTTATTATAATATTATATTAATAATAATACAAAAATAATTCTAAATTACACAAGAAAATAGCAAGAAAATAGTTTGCCAGCTTAGAGAGAAATCCTTGTGATGCCATTCCCCACTTAGAGAGAAATCCTTGTGATGCCATACCCCACTTAGAGAGAAATCCTTGTGATGCCATACCCCACTTAGAGAGAAATCCTTGTTATGCCATACCCCACTTAGAGAGAAATCCTTGTGATGCCATACCCCACTTAGAGAGAAATCTTTGTGATGCCATACCCTACTTAGAGAGAAATCCTTGTTATGCCATACCCCACTTAAAGAGACATCCTTGTGATGCCATACCCCACTTAAAGAGAAATCCTTGTGATGCCATACCCCACTTAGAGAGAAATCCTTGAGATGCCATACCCCACTTAGAGAGAAATCCTTGTGATGCCATACCCCACTTAGAGAGAAATCCTTGTGATGCCATACCCCACTTAGAGAGGAATCCTTGTGATGCCATACCCCACTTAGAGAGACATCCTTGTGATGCCATACCCCACTAGAGAGAAATCCCTGTGATGCCATACCCCACTTAGAGAGAAATCCTTGTGATGCCATACCCCACTAGAGAGAAATCCTTGTGATGCCATACCCCACTTAGAGAGAAATCCTTGTTATGCCATACCCCACTTAGAGAGAAATCCTTGTTATGCCATACCCCACTTAAAGAGACATCCTTGTGATGCCATACCCCACTTAAAGAGACATCCTTGTGATGCCATACCCCACTTAGAGAGAAATCCTTGTGATGCCATACCCCACTAGAGAGAAATCCCTGTGATGCCATACCCCACTTAGAGAGACATCCTTGTGATGCCATACCCCACTTAGAGAGAAATCCCTGTGATGCCATACCCCACTTAAAGAGAAATCCTTGTGATGCCATACCCCACTTAGAGAGACATCCTTTTGATGCCATACCCCACTAGAGAGAAATCCCTGTGATGCCATACCCCACTTAAGGAGAAATCCTTGTGATGCCATACCCCACTTAGAGAGACATCCTTGTGATGCCATACCCCACTTAGAGAGACATCCTTGTGATGCCATACCCCACTTAGAGATACATCCTTGTGATGCCATACCATACAAGGCATACACCAAAGAGGAGAGATGCGTAGAGCAAAGGGCAGACTAAGAACAAGATTGAAAGATAACCTTAGTGAAACTCTCCAGCAATACAAGATGTCTGGTTGAGGCAGCCAGAAGAGTGAGAAGCAGAACCTTATATTTTTTGTAACACTCAAAATGGTAAAATATGAAGAGATGAAGAAGAATGGACATTTGGTAGTTGCTGTTTATTTTCTCTATCTTTTGAGTGAATAACTATCCTATGTGTATTAGGAGACTACCCAGGCATGAGATGATTCATCTCGTTTAAAGATTTGGCAGGTAATCACTAGGGCTGTACCAAATATTCACTTCGTATTCGCTTCGGGGCCGAATAGTGGACCGAATGACTATTCGGTATTCGGCCGATTAGTTGCTGTGGGACCGAATACGAATAGTGGTTACCTTACACTCATTTGTGCATACACTGCGATGGACTGAAATAATTCTCTCAATAACACAATAGTTGCTGTTGCCTAAGTTTGTAGTAGCGGGAAAACTGCGACCCGTTGCGTGGTACAGCAGCTGGCAAGGTCTTGCCTGCTAACTTGACCGAGGCATTACAGCAAAGGTTCTCAAACTGGGTGCGTGTGCCAGGGGTGCCGGGGCGAAAATCAAGAAAAGTCTGCTATAAATTGTAACATTATTAAAGAAGACATATAGATACTTGAGATACTTTCCTCACCACTGTCGAAAAGAGCACAGGCGACAGGCAATACCTGCATTTTATAAAATGAAGAACATCTTATGCAATATATCTTTGCCATTTAAGGTTAGAAAAATAATTCTTGCTTGCTACTATTTTTCTCCTATTTTTCCAGTTTTAACATATGGTTGTAAGTCCTGGACAATCGGTAGGCAGGCCAAACAATTTCTCTAGGTTTCAGAGATGTAGTTTTACAAAACGATTCTTAAAATACCTTGAACAGCCAAAAAAAGCAACCAATAGGTTTTGAAAGAGGTGGCAGCCAGAAGACAAATAATCACAGACATCAGAAGGAGACAGTCATCATTTTTCGGCCATGTTATGAGAAGAGGCAAAATGGAACATGTGATGACCACTAGAAAGATCTGTGGAAGAAGGGATAGAGGAAGACAACGAGAGAACATTCTTGACAGTTTTGTTGCATGGCATGGAGGTTTGTCAGCACACGAACTAATACATGCTGCAGCAGATCGCAGATTGTGGCAAGGCATAATCTCCCACGTCGGTCGGCAAGGCACCTGATGATGATGATACACTATTCGTATTCGTATTCGGCGGAATAGTTGGTCCCACTATTCGTATTCGGCCGAATAGTGAAAATCACTATTCGGTACAGCCCTAGTAATCACTGATGTCAGTGAATATCTTTAGTAGTTATTTCTGAGGATTTTGAACATCATGACAAATGCAGTCACCATGCACTATGCACATTCGGATTTTTGTTCGAATTTGAACCAGGGTCTTCTAAATAAAAATCTATCAATCTAATTCCTGCACTGGGCTATATAAAAGGCTGGTGGGAAGAAAAGCTACTATTTTGAACATTCAAAATTAGCTGTAAAAACTCTTTGTCTCAACATCATCATCATGTGCCGGTAAGCATAGGCTGTCATGTTTCGCTATCTCACATGATTATTAGCATCTTGGATCAGTTCAATGTTTTTGTCTCACCCACCTATCTGGCCAGGCCATTCATGTATTTATCTCTTAGCCTTCCTCTTGCTTTCTTTCCATCAATCTTGCCAGTTGTTACCAAATTCTCATTGTCTACACAGCAGTAGATTCTCTTAATATTTTCTGAATTAATTTATGTTATTTTAAAAAAAAAGACATTTATTTTAATTATTAAAAATGACAAATGGTTAACATATGATTTTCAGGCAGATGCAATACTGCAGACTGAACTTGACAAATATAATCTCCTTGAAGGACGGTTTAACACTTTGGCATCAAATCATGAAGAAATGATACGTATCAAAGATGAATACAAGCGTGTCAATCAAGAACTGAGAGAGAAAAATGCAACACTGAAAGAGGAAAATAATAGACTGTTTTCAAAGGCTGTGGCAGAGAAAGATACTCTCATCCTTGAATTGGAAAAGAAATGTTCTTCTTTTCTGGAAAGGTGGTCTGGAGTAGAGAATAAACTGAGGTAAGTTTGACCTGTGATTGGCTTACTAAATTTTCCTCTCCAGACTTCTACTTGAAGGTTTGATATTTCACTGACCAAAAGAGTTAAATCTTTAATGCCAGTCCAACACAGCGAATTCCACATACTGTAATCAGTTTCATAGGCCGTTATAATTAGGTTCCCATAATCGCAACACCAAATATTATCCTCATCTACCATGCTGCCATGTACAGGTAACTTGAAACTTGTCTAGCGTGTGGTTTAAAAGAAAAAAAAAGGTATACACAAATCTTTGCATTACTGATTACTGATAAAGCAGGTAACTGCAAATTATTAATATGATTTTTATACGGTAAAAATGTTGATTTGTACTTCACATGGCTGCAAGTGGTGTTGCTCAGTTCAGCACAAGAGAATTTTAAAATAAAATAGTGCCACTTGCACATATCTGATTACAATTAACCATGTGTGCAGGTATACACACGGACAGCATACTAAACAAAATGTATGTTTTACACCTTACCGTACATCTAAACTTACAGTTCAGAAAAAAATTTGATGGACCCCCCTCTTCCCCCCATTCTGATCCCCTCCCTAACCACCACTTTTTGAGTACCTTTATCATTAGCATAAAAGTAAACAAATTTTGAAGTGTTTTCCAACTGTTGCTGGGATATTCTGTACGTGCTTTTATTTTTGTTTCATACGTTTCTGTGTCTGCTTGTGATTTCATGTCTTGGAATTTTTGTTCAATTCTGTCAGTCCTAAACTACAAGTCACTGGCTTTCCCCAGTTAATCCTGACTATAGTTCAACATGTTCCATACCTTTCATGTTACTTCAGAGGATACTAAAGATGTATGGTTTTATCATGGGCCACTCCCACTGCATGTTAAGTTTCCATTGAAATAACATATGTATGCTTTTTTGGATAGAGTTTATTCTTTACGTTGGCATCTGTGGCTGCTCTGCTTTGATTTCGACAGTGGTATGGAGAGCCGACGGTCAGTAAGCAGTGGTAGACTACTGAACGTAAAATTATCTATCATAGAAGGAACAGTGTTTTCGGTCGCCGGCATGAGCGAAAGTTAAGTCTATTGTGCTATGTATAAGGAGATCCTCCATACCTTACATTGAGCACCAGCAGGCCCTGTGCTGGTTCTACAGATTCTCATACAAGATTTTAGCCACATGTCCTCATCATGTGCCATAGATAATGGCCTCTGTTAGCCTAAATTGAGCTGTCAGGGGATTTTGGAGTTGTTGGCTTCCAGAGATGCAGTGTCCAGAATTTGGCACTCATCTCCCCACCCACAAGGAATAGGTGGTAATGTACATTGAAAACTCAATTGAAACATCGCATAAAAAAATGGTCCAAAAGATTGTTGACTGAGAGTCCTAGTAAGTATGACAAACTTTGGTCTAAATGTCTGATGATCAAGATAAAGGCTTCAGAAATGGCTAATTAAGTTTACTTGTAAATCCAACAAGTCTCCTACTATATGACACAGAAGGTTCACATGTCTGTCACCATTGGTCACACTCGTTCGAGTGTAATGACCACCAGGGAAAACGTTGCCTGATGCATGCTTCCAAAAATTGCTACCGAAAATGCCTCAGGCCGTCCATATGAAAAGTACCACTGATCGGTTAGCAAAGAGAGAGGTCTAACATCCCGATGAAGAGACTTGCCCAGTTTGTGGTTAGTCAAAGTCTCAGGCCTGCAGACTGCTTCCTGGAGATCCCTAATGGGTACATCATGTAAAGAGTGGAAGGCTCAAATTATGGATGTGAGGTTAAGCAATAATATACTTGACAAGACGATTCCTGTTTTGGACAGGTCGTCCAGGGACAACACCTGTGCATCAGGGGTTGATGAAGTCACCACACAAATGAGGCTGCAAAAATGCCCCTCAATGTCCCATGAAACTAAACGGGAAAGCTAACCTGGAAAACAAATGTTTGAAGACGTCAGATGTGTTGGCTGAAAGGTGCCTAACAATGAAGAAGAAGAAACTTCCTCATAAAATCACAGGAAAAAAATGCTGGGGTTGTGTTCTGTAATGTGCTGTAAACAAAATACACAACTAACTTCTGTTGTAGGGAATCTGCCCATGGCTTCTTTTTTCTTTTGCGTTCCCTGGCTGTAAACTATGGCAGAAAGTTCTGGTTGTTCATCCATATCTGGACTTTAATCTTGTTCCAAAGCCTAATTGTTGCATGCATATCCATTTTAAAGATCTGAATTTTTTTATATGCACATTGTTGGTTCTTTGCCTCTCAGGCAAAAGCACTCCGACTTCATAGGAAGTCCCCAATAAATCTATTCTTACAACCTGCTTGTTAGGGAGGCAGTGGGTCTATTCTTGTTTTACCCTCGATGGAACTAACACATGGAGCTTGTGGTTTGAATAGTATCTAGATGCACTGCTAAAAATACCCTTATAGATGCCCACATTTGAACAACTCAGTTGTATTTGATTAATACTGTCTTTTTCCCCCCCTTTTAACTTAGGAGAGTAAATATATTTTAACTATTTTTCAGACAGTCGCAGATAGAATGGCAGAGTAAAGAAGATGAACTGAAAAGACAAATCACAGAACTGCAAACTAATTATTCACAGCAAACAAAGAACTTACTTGCACAGCTACAAAACACAGAAGAGAAACTGAAAGGTAAGCTCTTTTACATAGCTCTAGCCGTAAATGTATAGTTCTGCATTTATAAAGTGCTAAAAACTACACACATATTGAGTAATGCTTGAACATAATTTTTACAACCCTACAGCATTTTGACACAAAATTGCAAAGTTAAGTATATCAAGAATTTCTGATTTTAAAAGTCTTGTGTACATTTTTATCTTCCATTGTAAATGTTGTTGTGTTTATTTACAAGAAACGTTTTAATTTGTTAAAATTACAGTAAAACTTTGATTAACTGTCACCATCTGGACCAGGGCTATGAGGGATAACTGAATAGACAATAACGTGATTTCACTGAGGGTTTGGAATGAAAATGAAAAAAAAAATCCTTTAAAATTGAATAAGACAATCAAACTATTTAATTTTACAAAACAGTTAATATAAACGTCAATATAAGAATAGCAATGTGCACAAATGTATTGTATTACTATAAACCTACCTAACTTTACGATAATCGGTCAGTAGTAATGTATACAAATGTAGGCTCTACTGGCAAATCCGGACGAAGAATAAACAGCCTTGGACGACTTAGTCAGAGTTCTCTCCCGTCGCCGCACTCCAAACAGTGATCGGAAAAGCCACAACGAAACAAAGACGACAGTCACGTCGACATCAGGGCTGCCAATGCTTGGTTGTTTCCCCCAGATCTGGGTTTTTTTTTGACGCTGCAGGACAATTCTGGGTGTTTTTTTTTTGGGGTGTGTTTTGTTTGTTGGTGTTTGCCGATTTGTATGCTTTAATGATCGATAAATTTGCGTGGTTAAGGGGGTAGGGGTTAGGGTTAGGGAGTGGGATTAGGATTAGGGTTAGCGGTAGGGTTAGGATTAGCGTTAGATTTGACAATCGCGCACAGTCCCATACACACACACAAACAATCGAGGGCCTCTGGATGCTGGTCACACGCACAATTCGCCAACGATTGGGGGCACCAGCCGCACGCTATTGGCATCATATTTGGCAGAGTTTCAGTGGCGCCACTCCCACAAACATCAGATTGTCGGCCAGTATTTCGAAATCCTAAGTCAAAATTTTAACATCTACCCCTAACCCTACCCCTAACCCTACCCCTACCCCTAACCCTAACCCTAACCCTACCTCTAACCCTAACCCTAACCCTAACCCTACCCCTAACCCTACCCCTAACCCTACCCCTAACCCTACCCCTAACTCTAATCCAACAACCGCATGTTGATGACTACACAACCATTCACAATGCCTCACGCAACCGTACGCAACCCTGCAAGCAACCATATGATGATGTCACGATGCCTCACACAACCGTGCGCAGCCCTACACGCAACCGCAGGATGATTAAGTGTGTCGTTTGTTTCGTTTGTTTTCCGATCACTGTTTGGAGTGCGGCGACGGGAGAGAACTCTGACTAAGTCGTCCAAGGCTTTTTATTCTTCGTCCGGATTTGCCAGTAGAGCCCAAATGTATTGTATTACTATAATCCTACCTTACTTTAAAATAATGGGTCAGTAGCAATGTTCACAAATGTATTGTATTACTAAAAACCTACATTACTTTAAAATACTCTGTCAGCAGCAGTGTACACAAATGTATTGTATTACTATAAACCTACATTTAATTAAAATACTCTGTCATTAGCAATGTACACAAATGTATTGTATTACTATAAACCTACCTTACTTTAAAATAATCGGTCAGTAGTAATGTACACAAATGTATTGTATTACTATAAACCTACCTTACTTTAAAATAATCGGTCAGTAGTTATGTACAGAAATGTATTAATATAAACCTACCTAACTTTAAGATAATCGGTCAGTAGTAATGTATACAGATGTATTGTATTACTATAAACCTACCTTACTTTAAAATAATGGGTCAGTAGCAATGTTCACAAATGTATTGTATTACTATAAACCTACATTACTTTAAAATACTCTGTCAGTAGCAATGTACACAAATGTATTGTTTTACTATAAACCTACATTTCTTTAAAATACTCTGACATTAGCAATGTACACAAATGTATTGTATTACTATAAACCTACCTTACTTTAAAATAATCATCAGTAGTAATGTACACAAATGTATTACTATAAACCTACCTTACTTTAAAATAATGGGTCAGTAGCAATGTACACAAATGTATTGTATTACTATCTTCTTCTTCTTCACTTCCTCTTCTACCGCTGTGGGTGTCGAGGGAGATATAAGGTTCTGTTTCTAGCTCTTCTGGCCGCCTCGACCATAGGCACATTGTGCTGTTGTAGAGTTTCTATGATGTTATCCTTCCATCTTGTTTTTGGTCTACCTTGTGCTCTACGTCCTTCTTCTCTTTCCATGTATGCTTTGTATGGTATGGTGTCACAAGGCATTCTCTCTAAGTGGGCAAACCATTTCAATTATATTACTATAATACAATATATAGTTTAATGTAGGTTTATAGTAATACAATACTACAATAGTAGTATTGTATTACTACAAACCTACATTACTTTAAAATACTCTGTCAGTAGCTATGTACATAAATGTATTGTATTACTATAAACCTACGTTACTTTAAAATACTCGGTTCTCCTTAAAACTACGGCCACTTATTATGGAGTACGCTGGAGTTCAGTCCCCTGGCCGCAATGCAATTACGGAGTGGACAAGAGGGAACGACACAAATGAAGTACTTACTGTGTGTTGGCGATAGACAGCGTGAACCGATGAGGTAATTACTGTGTGTTGGCGATAGATGCACTGCTGTCATAATAGGGTTAGGGTTAGGGTTTGGGTTAGGGTTAGGGTATTGGTACTCCTTAAAACTACGGCCACTCCTAACCCTAACCCTATCCATAACCCTAACCCAAACCCTAACCCTAACCCTAGTATGACAGCAGTGCATCTATCGCAAACACACAGTAATTACATCATTTGTGTCGTTCCATCTTGTCCACTCCGTAATTGCAATGCGGCCAGGAGACTGAACTCCGGCGTACTCCATAATAAGTGGCCGTAGTTTTAAGGAGAACCAAATACTCTGTCATCTCCTGTCAGTGGCAATGTACACAAATGTATTGTTTACTATAAACCTATGTTACTTTAAAATACTCTGTCATCTCCTGTCAGTAGCAATGTACACAAATATTGTTTACTATAAACCTCTGTTACTTTAAAATACTCTGTCATCTCCTTCTGTGTCTTTTAGGCTGGGGCTTTCTTCGTGGTGATGTTTCCTATCTTAGCAGAAGTAGGATCTGTGTTGTATTTTGCTCCTTTTTCGTTTCAAACCAGTTGTTGCACTTTGAAAACATTGTTCCTGCTTCTGAGTGGCTAGTTGTAGTTTTTGGTTAAGAACTAATCCTTCATTATGATCTTGTTCTTGTTAATTTTGTTTGTTTGTTATGATTTGGGTTGTCTTCACGGCACTCCGGATATGTCCATAGGTGCTCAGTTTCCCCCTTCAGCATATACATTAGGGTCCAGCAATTGATAGTTCCAGTCCTTTGTTGGTTGATAAGACTTCTTGTGCGCCCGGTTTGCTTCTTGTGCCTGGCTGTGCCAATTTTTACTCCCAGTTGCACTCTTAGCAAAGATGTGGATAAGTTGCTGCCAAAATTTGTGAGTTTTGGTCAGTTGAGCACCACAGCATAGGTATCTATTCTTCGCCGAGGTTGATGTCTGTAAGACTGCAAACCTGTATGATATCATCCTCTGCCCTACCGAGCCATGATTTGCCCCTTTTTAGCCTGTTGCCCTTTTCCCTAAAGAAAAAATTGAGTCCTCTAGATTTTCATCCTATGGTGCATTGTCAGAAAGTCAAGACGGTATCTCATTGCTACGCAAGAGATGTCTCTTGTGCACCCCAGAATAATGTGCATGGCTTCACTTTGCACCTTTTCCAGTCTTTCAGTCTAAGTATCGCTGACGGCGAGTATGGCTAAAGCATATTCGATTGGAGAAAGAACCAGTTCCTGGAAGAGTAGCAGAAGCAATCTCTGCTCGATGTTGGCGGTGGCCAGGACCCTCATTGCTGATAAGCCTTTACATTCTTTTGTTATAGCATGGTCAACGTGGTCTTTGAAGGACAGTCATTGAGTGTGTTCTCATCAAAGCTTCGCCGCTAATTTCCACCAGTGGTAGGTCTGCCTTAACCATATTTGTGTTCAAAGAGAACCAATTTACTGAGGCTTTTGAAGGGCACTGGAGTTCACACACGAGGAGGAGATGCGATTAAGTTCGTTCTGCATTGCATTGGCAATCTCATGACGCTTTCTTCCATGTTGATAGACCAAAATGTCATCATCAAATGACAGTCCTACCACTCCCATTCAACTGCTGGTCAGTTATTCACAGTGTACACACATTAAAGAGGATCGGGGACAGCGGAAAACCTTTTAATAATCCAGGACAAATGGTTGTTGGGTCTGAGGACCAACAACCACACCTGACTACCACCCATCTCGGTTGCTAGCCAACGGATAATAAAGGGAAATATTTTTAGTTTGCACCTTTTGCACCTCGTCTCCTCCAGCTTTCCTGTTGTCATGATATATTTTTGTTCTCTTTCTCAGGAATTGCCTGAAGAATGTGGATGACCCACTTCTGATGCAGTTAGTTGATTATCTTTTCTCTTTGTGGGTCCAGGGCCTCATTGGGGGGAAGGGGGGGGGTGACTTGACCATCTTCCACGCTAACAGGCATATCATAATTGATGGCTTATTAGGGCTTTGCAGAAAAAGAAGTTAGGGACCTTTAGAGATACCACACAGTCAGAAAGCCTGTGGCACTCATAAACCCACGGCTAAACCATGAGTATCTGGTGTCCATACAAAGAGTACTTTTATAATTTGACAAATAGGTTCTAAAGTCCAGAGAGCATGATTTCTTTAAAATAACAATTTTGGTTTAAACATCAATCAAACAAAAATTCTGCAGAAAGATCCAAAGAGCCTTGAATGGCAAGCTAAGTCATTCTTTCTTGGGCTGGACTTCATAAAATCAACCAAAATAACAAATATATACTATGAGAGCTTGATGAATACTTTAAATCCCTATTGTAACCCTGAGGGTTGGATTGGATATTTTTGTAAAAATTACTACTACTACTACTACTGATTGATTTGTCTTACAACAATTAACAGGAACAGAATACCGACTGCAACAACAGTTAGACTGTAGACACTCTGTGCAAGAAGAAACATCCCAGAAACTACAGCAACTGAGTAAAGAGAAAGAAGAGTTGCTGACTCTCATCACACACAGAGGAAAGCTTGTTCATGTAATTAAAACAAAAGCTTTGTGATTGAATTTATAAGCCATAACTTTTATTTGCTTAGTTATAAAATCTCTTCATTAGTATATTTTTAGCAAATTTTAAAATATTTCTTCACTGTTTAACTTCCTGTGTCTTTCAGTATTTTTGTAATCATTATATTAATTCTATAGTAATAATAATAATAATAAAATAGATAGATATATATATTAGCTTGCTTTTCTTACAAACAGTTCTTGGTATTAAAATGTTGTGTATCTGACAACATAATAGAAATGCTGATTTCTTTCTTTTTTGAACTAATGTAACTTTCTGTTTCAGAAAGAACAGGATGAGAATAAACTTTTAAAGCAGAGAATTGAGACAATGGAAAGAAGTGTAAAAAACATGGAGAACAAATTTATGTAAGTATATATATATGTCATAGATTAGCTGTGGTAACTTAGCTGAGCTAACCCTTCATATTTACTATAAGACCATTCAGCACTTGACAACTGTCATATCTTGTTAACCATCTTTACTTTCCATAAATTTCCTTGCCCCATTTAATACCTGGTTAATCTTGGAGCCAAAGTATTTAAAATTAAATTCCTGCTAAAATTTGCGTAGCACATGTGTCAAAATAAAACATGCTAACCTAATTATATTTACAAGCTGCACAGTGACATGTGATGAACAATGTAGCATAAAGATTTAAAAAAAAAAGGAAAGGGAATCAATATTTTCAAGAATTCTTTTGCTAAAATTAACTAAAAAATATCTCGGCAAATTTGAATAACCACTGACATTTGTGGTCAGTCTTCTACATGACTGAGAATACCAAAGTTAAAATAATGAAACAATAACAAAACTGAAGGTTAGGGATATGTGATATAATAAAATTGTAAAAAAATATTTTGGAAAACAAACCCTAAGGTACTGACATTCCATATGTTACTAGATAACTCAGTAATATCATATGGAAAAGGCAAATACAGCATATACAAAGTCTGACAATTAAGTAATGAGACTGAGACTAATTTATTATGGCCAAGATAAAAATTCAGTCTATGAATCAAAGCATTTAATCCAAAGAGGCAACCTTCCCTTCGTCTATGATCTGGCGAATGTATTATTCATATCACATTTTAAATGTTAATTATTTTCTTTTATTTTATATTATTACTTTATTCAATTCCTTCAGTATCATTTATGTATCATTACCATTTGTATTTCTTTTATTCCCAGTTTAATATTATATATTAACAATACTACTGTTTATTATTTTGTGTGTGACTATTTTTTAGCCATCGTTTATTTTATTTAAATTCATTTATTCCACATCACATTTTTTTAAACGTTGCTCACGTCACCCCTTAGAGATCTACATACTCTCCTCTCCTCGTTGTTACTTTTTTGTAGTTCACTTATGTTTAAAAAAGGCTGCCTGGCCGAAATGTTACGTTGTGTTGTTTTGGGCATGTTTTTCTGCTTCCCCATTTTGTAGAACTTTTTAGTCAAATTTCTCTGGAATTCCTTGTTACGTTATCAGCATGGAGCAAATTCTAAGCAAGAAAATTGAGAGAAAACAATGAAATGGCAACAGCTGGGAAACAAATGACATAAGAAAAATCAATTTCATTAACATATCCGACAGAGATAAGTGGAGAGTCATGATTACCTAGATCTGCTCCATTACAAGTATGTGAAGAAAAGTATAATGATAGTAAGTTACCATTTACTAATACATATCTTCTGTGCCCAGACTTGGGCTTGTCGTGACAGGTTGTATAATCTTATAGAAGAAATCAAAAGACAATTTCTGACACTTTAAAGTGGGAAATTGTATAATCTAATAGAAGAAATCAAAAGACAATTTCTGACACTTTAAAGTGGGAAAACTGTTCTGGTAGCTAATATTTGTAATCTGAATATAAATAATTTCATTTTGGAAAGAAACATTAGAAATCATGTTGTCTTAGAGGCAGACATTAGTCTAAGATGCAGATTTTACAGCCAAGCAGTACGCATATTACAGTCAACTTTAAAGTCAGTTAATTACTTTTTGCTTTGGGTGCAACAGGTCCTGGTTTCAAATCCCAGATTCACCTAGATCGTGCAGGATACCAGAACAATCTTGCTATCTAATCCAGACAATACATCAAAATCCAGAGATGTGACTCTTGAAGATACAAGTGAGATTTTGCCAATTCAAATACTCTGACCACAGTTTACTATGGAATGACATATTATGTACATTTGTGGGCAGTAGTATAAAATCTTAAAATTACAGAAGACATGCAACCAAAATTGGCATTGAGACTAATATTTTAAGGATAGGTCTTTTTTGCATGCCTAGGGGTTCCATGAAGGTGAGCAAGGATTGAATGACCGAGAACCAAAAACAAACTGCACAGAAAGTTGCTGATAAGTATTTCTGTAAAATTCTACGTAGTCTCTGCACCCTAAGATAGATGTGGAGCAGCAAATTCAATAAGATTTTAACTCATGTAGAAAGAAAACAAAATGAAGAAGCAGAAATCCATTGTCATTTTCTGCCTGACTATAAGTGAACTACATTCAGTACCTGTGCATTAGTTTTAACCACCCCCCCTCCCCCCCTCATTTTTTTTAAATTGACGAAGGAAATAATTAGTATTCTCTGCTAATTTGTGCTAGCATGATAATGAAATGTTCTCTTTTCAGCTGAATGTTATTGTTGTTGTTGATAGATTATACATGTCTCAGGATCTATGAAAATAAAGAAAAATGTATTTATGTGCTACTCTAGCAGTATACAATTTAGTACTGTTTTTCTTTCTCAGCCAAGAAGCAGAAGCTGTTAATGTGAATCTGCGAGTCAAACGTCTGGCAGAGGATCTCCAGGAAGCTAATTACAAATATTCTCAACTGGTCAAGGTAACAATTTGATCTTTAAGATTACTGTAGGACTTTCACTTAATCCATCAAGTGCGTAATTTGGATTTTCCCAATCCCTTCCACAGCGTGTATTTTTTTCTGAGATTGTTCACAGAATGAAGAACTTTTAGTAAGGCTGAGTTAAGTTGTTGATTTGATTGGAGTAAGAATCAACATCACAGCACTTTGGACTTTCCCATAAGCACTCCGTCCTAATCTTTAGGAGCTGGCAAAGAGTTCCAATTCTGATGGTACCAGCATCAGCCTGATTATATGTCTGTCTTGCCTTTCCTCAGAATTTAGAGTGTTGGCCAATCCCCTAGCCACTCTCTGTTACACTAGGGACTGGGATGATCTTTTTACTATGAACCCCCATGTGCTTCTTCTGCCTAAACACAGAGCTGTCTGTATAGAAAATCACATCACATAGACAAGAATTGTTGTGTATCAATTGTTTAATATAATCACACCTCATGGGCAAGAATTGTCATGTATCAATTGTTTAATATAATCACACCTCATGGGCAAGAATTGTCATGTATCAATTGTTTAATATAATCACACCTCATGGGCAAGAATTGTCATGTATCAATTGTTTAATATAATCACACCTCATGGGCAAGAATTGTCATGTATCAATTGTTTAATTTCTGATTATGCAGTGCCTGCAGACTGCCCCCCACACTTCCAGCATAGTGATTTTCCAATCTGTTTATCAGTGTGGTCGGCTCTGTGGCTAAGTCGATGCAAACGCTTCGTAATGCCGGGATGCCAAGTTCGATCCTTGCTGCGGGCCATGCGCCTTGCTTTGGTTTCAACAGTGGTATCAAGAAAGCCAACCGTCCAGAAAGCAATGGCAAACTACTGGACGTAAATTTGCCTAGAAAAACCACACAACAGCCAGGGGCTGTTGGGGTTGGTTCTGCAACGTCCTGTAAAGGATACGCAACTAACCTTATCTGGGTGGCACTAAATGTCAGCATGGCCAGTGAATACTCAGTTGTGGAGAGGACTAATCCCTGGTTTAGCATCACAAGCAACTTTTGTTCAGAATTCATAGTAGCCATATCTTTGATTGCCAATAGTCTTGACCTTGGTAATTGTGTTTGCTCTTTAAATGATAGGTATCTATCAAATTGTGAGTTATGACTTAGATTATCTTCACAGCACTCTGGACACATCCACAGGTGCTAGATTCCCCCTTCAACATACACATCAACATATACTTTACCATACTTAGTCACTCCTTGAGGTGTAGAGGTTTGCCAGAGAGGTCGCCAGACTTCTCTATCAGCAGTTGTCTTTTTGGCCTTGTTCTATTTGAGTCTTTTGTCAATCATGGACTGGTGGTCTGGTTCCCTGGTTCTTGCCTGCCGTGGTGGTAGATTTTCCCCCATTCTGCATACATGCCATATCATTGTAACTGTGACTGATCCACTTAAATTTGTAAAGGCCTGGGTGTCAAAGTCATGACATATTGTCTGATTGTGAACTTTGCCCCTTTTTGTCATTTGGACCACCTTTCTCAGATACCTAATTTCTGAGGCCTGAAGCTGGCTTCTGTGAGCTGTTGTCATTGCTCATGACTCGCACCCATTTGTCAGAACTGGCACATAGGTAGAGCGGTATACAGTCATTTTCGTCCGTTTGCTAATTTATCTTTTGCTGAGAAAACCCCTGTTAATGTCCTGCTTTTCGAGCAGCCAACTCTGACTTGATGCCTCCATTCTGGTCTGTTACAACTCCAAGGTATTTGAACTGGTTGACCTGTTCCAGTGCATCTTTTCCTATCATGATCTGATGTGTCTTCTTTTTTGAGGTCACCATGTTTTAGTTTCTGAGACACTATTGGTCATCCCTTTCTTCTCAAGCTCTTCCTTTCAGACGAGTAAGTTGGATTGAAGATATGACTGATTTAACTATCAGGGCAACATCATCTGCAAATGCTAGCCAGCAACATTGATCAAATTGTAAACCTAGGTATTTCAGGGAGTCTGACCTCTCCAAGTCCTTGCCATAGAGTTCTGCCATCAGCATTGATGACTTTACTTTGGATCGATTAATTGTTACCCTGGAGATATTGCACCAAGATGATATTCGGCTAATTCCTTTTTTTGCTCCGAGAAATGTCAGCTGTGCTCCTGTCTTATCGACAAGTATACGAGGATGTCTTCCGCAAATGAGATAGCTCTTCCTTTACCATTCACTTGTTCTCCTGATCTTGTTTGTGAAAATACAAACAGGACTGGAGACAGGGGAGAGCCTTGAGACAGGCCTGGACTGACTGTTATTGGCTGAGAAGACCAAACTCCACATTAGAGCAACACCTTCCTTCAGAACAATGCTGCAGATATCCATTCAACAACATTTAGGAAGTATTGAATTATTTTATTTGGCTCATCAATTGGTTGAATGGAACTTTGTTGTAGGCATTTTCTAGGTTTGTGACGACTGCACATGTTTCATCGTTAGCTTGAATTTGGCCCTTTCAAACACTCATCTTTCACACAGCAATGCTATATCAAGCATATTATGTTCAAAAATAAAAAATTCATAGTATGAATTTGTCAAGAAAAATACAAAAACGTAAATGACAAACGCATAATTTCAAATATACATGCAAAAATATGCACATAGACACATAAGTTCATGACGGTCAACCTTGTGGAGGTGTCTTGCATGCTGGTCTGCGTTATGTATCTGTCCAGAAATGCTTTCCCTTTGACCTTTTCTGACCTCTTCCATGTTTGGTCTTCACTGCAAAAGTCACTTATACTTCAGTATCAAATAGCACCTGTTGTGGCCCTATGAATGGACCAGGGGCTTGTCTGTGCATAATTTTATACCAAAAGATTTCCTAGTTTTTGATTTTGGCTTCTTGAACATTTGTCTTGAAGGATGTAGTAGTCTGCATAACCTACTTGAGTTCCTCTTGTAGACCTGGAGGAGAGTCAGTGGATTTCCTGGCTTGATGCCAGGTCTGGATGCTGTCTTAGTGGCAGACATGGGTCAGCCATGACTAAGAAAAATAAAAATGAATTAAACAGTTTTCTCATGATGCAGATGTTTCAGCCAAGCAACATGTTACTGTGGCTATGTCCTGATGGTTCACCTTTTAAGCGTGTTTAAGCTGACTCTACCTCCACATTCTACCACAGTGGGAAACTTCCAGATTAATGTGATATGAACCCTACGCAAGTCTGATTGTTGCTCGGGCACTTTGATAAAGTTCACTCCTAGCCCAGTATTTTCAAGCGTGCACAATACATGTCCAGGTGCGTCTTCTGCTTGTGCCATCCAAGACTTTTCTCTTTTTTAGTCTTAGCCCTGTCTAGGGCTTCATGCAGGAGATGTTTTTTTAAAATGTCTGTGGCTGCTCTGAGGTACAGCCTTGCAACGCTTTGGGCCCATCTGCACTAGTCTTTTGCGAAAAGTGTTGCTTGTGCTAAAGCTTATGCAAACTTCCCTGAAAAATGATAAATATGTAAGAAAACTATCTTGAATCTGTTCATGTGCTTTCTCTTGATGGACAGCTTCCTTCACTGGTTTGAACCATTTAAGAAAGGTTATAACACATGCATGCATGCACGTATTTGCGTGCACACGCACACAAAGAGAGAGAGACAGACAGACAACAACAACAAAACATCATTTCTTGACCTTTTGGCTGAGGAGTACCATAGAAAGCACTACTATGGTGTGGTGATATTGATCACAGGCTTGAAAGAAAGTTGAAGCTATTGTGATGTGTATAAGGAGCTCTTGGATGGTTTTACGGATCTTCCTGCAAGACTCCTGCAGAATGTCCCCCTCATGCACCACAGATAAGGGCTCACCTTTGTGACCTGAATCCAGTTGGCAAGGGATCTTGGAGCTGGTGGCTACTAGAGATCTAGTGTTCAGTCTGGCTCACATAAGTCCACCACTGCAAAGCCTATTTGGGATATGGGTAACCACCGCTAGCCAAACTCACTACTAAATGACAACCCTCAGTTAAAAGGTCTATCGAGTGGAAAAAACTACTATACTGCTGAGATTCAGCCTTATATCGAATTGCTTGCAACTTGCGGAACAGTACTGTCTCTGTATTTCCCTTGCTGTTCCGCAATGTCATCAACACAGTTTTGAGGTACACCATGACAATCTGGCACTGTCAGTGTGCTGGTTTGGCATAAATGTCCGACTGATGTATGTCCTGTGGCTCACAATCAATCCCAAATATCCAAGTGAATAAAGGTCCTGTTAATTGGCAGGAAGGACCACATGACCGTTACCATTGGCTTACTCACCAGAGTACATGATCTGCCCCTGTCATGTATTGAAATATTTCTTGATTACTGACATTCACATCATTGACACTGAAATTCAGTTTGTGTATCATGACACCTGCATGTGTTGACCATACATCAATAGTGTTATGTCTGTGTATTTTTAATGTGCACAGCAGTAGTAAAGTAAATAAAATTGGTAATGTACTTTTTCAGGAGTTTGAAGCATTCAAGAAACATTCAAATGATCTACTGAAGAAAGAGAAGGAACTCAATGACAGGCTGAGGCAGCTATATACATGAGTGGGAATTTCTACTACATGCATAACCTGCTATATAATTCAGGCTTAGTTAATTATTTTAAGTTCATTTTTACAAGAGTGTTACTTTACATGTTTTCCAGTGTTCTCTTAAGGATGAATCTGTGTCAGGTCCAGCAAATCGGCAGTGGATTTAAGAGTTCACAAAAATCTGCTCTAGAAACAATATATGAGATCAGCCGAGTCAATACAGGCTTGTGGAGAAATCGGAGTGACCTGGCTACTCCACATATTTAGGAAAGCCTGGAATGAAAGAACTGTACCAATAGACTGGCAAAGAGCCCTTATAGTCCCAATTTGGAAAAGAAAAGGCAATAAGCAAGATTGTAACAATTACAGAGGCATCTTCCTTCTAAGCCACGTAGGAAAAATGTTTGCCAAAATTCTGGAACAACGAATTAGATCCGTTGTAGAACCGATCCTGAGCCCATCACAGGTCGGATTTAGGAAAGGAAGAGGGTGTACTGACGCTATTTTTGCTTTAAGACAAGTTAGAGAAAAGACAATAGAACACAGACATCAAATGAACATCGCTTTCATAGATCAAGAAAAAGCTTTCGACAGAGTAAACAGAAATTTATTATGGAAAGTTCTTGAAAACTACGGTATAAATGGAACAATTTTAGATTGTGTTAGGGCTATTTATAGAAAAAGTGAAAGCGCCATTAGAACAAGAGCTGGCATCACAGACTGGTTCCCAGTAACATCAGGAGTAAGACAAGGTTGTGTATTATCACCTTTCTTTTTCAAAATATTTAAGGACAATATTAATAAAATAGACATAACACCAACAGATGTCGATAAACAGGAGGACTTCAATGAGCTGCTCTTTGCCGACGATCAATGCATATTTCACAGTGATAGTAAACAGCTGCAAGACCACATAAACCTACTACACGACAGTTGCCTCAAGCATCATATGAAGATCAATACTGAAAAGACAGAAGTCATGAGCATAAGTAGAGAGCAACAGACCGTCGACATAAAGATTCTAGATCACAGCCTAAAACAAGTGCAAGAATTTAAATAGATCGAAGCAAGAATCCAACAAGCCAACAATGTCGCATACCAGCTTGCCCCAATTTTAAAACACCCTGCTGTCCCAGCTGAGATAAAAAGACAAATTATAAATACAATCTTTATACCGACATTAGGTTATCAATGTCAGACTTAGACAAAAGAACAGGAGAGAAGACTAACCACCTGTGAAATGAGATGTTTGAGAATGGCTGCGAATAAAACCAGAAGTGATCGAGTGAGAAACGATGTGATTACAAGAACTATTGGAACCATACCCATCGTTAAATTTATTGAGAAGCAAAGAATGAAATGGTTTGGTCACCTAATGAGAATGGAACCAACGATGCCAGCATCAAGAGCATACAACATGAAAATCGAAACACCAAGAGGCAGGGGAAGACCAAGAAGAAGATGGATTGAAGGAGTCACGGACAACTTGAGACTTCATAACATCACGGCATATGAAGCGACTGAGCGCGCCCTGGCTCGGTTGCCGATCATCTGATAGACTGCGACGCCTAGTGGCACAAGCAGATTTTGACAAAAGAAGAAGTTACTCCAAAGGTCAAAGTCAGAAATGTGTGTGTGTGTGAGAGAGAGGGCACCCCAAAAAAAAAGAGAAAGGGTGAGAGAGACCGAGCAAGATAGAAAAGTAAACAGTTGTCTTATATTACTGGTATTAGTTTTCATTTTTTAGTCTCTTTTGGTAAGAGAACTGTTTAAAAAAAAAATAAACAGAAAAAAAAGGCTGTCGTTAATTTTAGTGACACATTTATTCGATATTTGGAATTAATTGAGCCATTGCCTTTCTATATATATATTTAAAAACACATACAAGGTGACCAGATGTCATGGTTTTAGATGCTGTGTTCCAATATCTCTTTAAAAAAAAAAACAAGAACTAATATGATGTTAATAACATGTTATAATTTCTTGATGTTGTCCTTGCTTGTGACTTCATTAATGCTAGCACAGTATAAAAAATGTTGGCCAAATATAGAACAGTATTTGATAAAGAATGTTAACCAGTATTTAGACATAGCTATAATTACGTTAACAGTTATTACTGTTTTTTTCTATTTGTAAGCAGCTTTTATTTGTTGAAAAGTATTTGATGACAGAATTTCACATTGGTGCTTGTGAATATACTTAAAATGTGTTTTGATTTGTTTTATATAAGATGTTAGAAGATGTTGACAACAAATTCACTTAACATTATAGCTGAATGGCTTTCAATACAGGATAACTATAATAGTGAGAATAAAGAAACCTGTAACATGTGTAGACCATCTATAAATAGTAGACAAGATAAACCCAACTTGGAGGATAGAAAATAAGGAATATAAACATAAATTTCAGCATTGGTAGCCTCCTGTAAAGGATATGCAATAGATAAATGGCAATCTCTGAAAAGAAAACTTGCAACAACAACAAAAAAATTATTAATTATGTAGTATAATATATAAACAGTATTTTATCCTGGTATAAGTTCTGGGGCCTCACTGTGGGGAAAACCAAGAATAGACCCACTGCCTCCCCAACAAGCATGACGTAAGAGTCGACTAACTGGGGGGCCTCCTTCATAGTCAGGCTGCATCTGTCTGAAAGGTAAGGAAGGAACAACAGTCTGCATACAAATAAACCAGATCTATAAAATAAATGAGCATGTAAAAATCTAGTTCTGGAACAAGGTTATGTTAGTTGCGTATCCTTTACAGGACATAGCAGACCCAACCCCAACAGCCCCTGGCTGTTGCATGGTTTTTCTAGGCAAATTTACGTCCAGTAGTTTGCCATTGCTTTCTGGACGGTCGGCTTTCTTGATACCACTGTCGAAACCAACACAAGGTGCATGGCCCACAGCTGGGATCGAACCTGTCATCCTGGCATTATGAAGCGTTCACATCGACTTAGCCACAGAGCCGACTCTGGAACAAGGTCAACATTAAAAAGCTGATGAACAACCAGAACTTTCCACTGAAGTTTACAGCTGGTTATTGCAAAGAATGATAATAATAATAATAATAATAATAAGAAGAAGAAGAAGAAGGAGAAGAAGAAGAAAGAAGAAGAAGACAAAGAAGAAGAAGAAGAAGAAGAAGAAGAAGACAAAGAAGAAGAAGACAAAGAAGAAGAAGAGGAAGAAGACAAAGAAGAAGAAGAAGAAGTAGATGCAGAAGCAGCAGCACCAAAAGTAAAAGCAGCAGAAGCAGATGCGGCTGCAGAGAAAAAAAGACACTTCAACAGCACCCACACATGATGTTCCCCCCAGAAAGATAAAGTAGTTTGCCAAGATTGATGCTCTATTATAATAATGTTTACCATAATATATATATGTCTTGTAAGCTTTGAGTATATGTACATGCCAGCATAGCATACTGAATTAGAATGTTGAATAAAGTCTGTTTATTGTTCATTAGTGACAAAAAGTTATCAGTCTAAATAAAAAAGTAAAGTACCCTTTTTTTCACGCCTTTAGGCATATTGGGCATATTAGGCTAGACCTATATTTTATTGGCCAGTCAGCATTTGGTGGCTGATGAGATCAGCATCACACTGGGTTATCTGTTTGTTACACTGTAGTTGATGTCAATTTTGTTACTGTAGATATTTTAATGTACTTTCTCTTCACCGACAAAAAATTATTTACTGGTATAATACCTCATGATGATGAAAGAAATTTGGAAAACTATATAAACACATGACCAGCAGTTTGAAAATTATGAAGATCAACATTTTCAAGACTGAAACCGTTATACATGGAGACGATCAAGCACAGTAAAATTACAAACACATAATATCAAAGTGAAACAAGTCTCAGAGTTCAAGTATACAAGTGACATTTCCCTGACAATGAAAGACTTGAAAGGGGAGTGGAAGCAAGATGTCAAAAAGTGAACACTTTGACTTATCAACTATCACTATTCCTAAAGTATCCACAAATCACTACATAAGTTAAATAACAAGTGAGTAATAGCATATTTCTACCATCAATCTGCTGTCAGTGCCAAATAAGGACAGTGTCTAAATCACAAGGGAGGAAACACATTATATCTGAAATTGAATTATTTAGAAAAACTGCCTTCATTAGATGAGATGGAATTAGATGTGGTGATATTAAATATATTACAAGTATGGGATCTTACAGTGAATTTATAGACACAAGCTATAATTTGCTTTATAAATCATGTGCACGGCTACCACCGTGTCAAGCAGCTCTGGCATTCATTCTGTATGAACGCCAAGAAGCAAGTGGAGATATTTTGCCATGCACTCACCAACTCAAAATTGTGAAAATATAGGGATGACTGCAGTCAAGCTTAATACAAGCAATTCCAGAGAAATCTGACTAAAAAGCTCAACAAAATGGGGAAGCAGAAAGACGTGAACAAAACAACACAACGTAACTGTTGTGTGCTAAATTGAGTCAGCACACTACCAAGTGTCTAGCAGGTACTCTTCAGCTTCCTTTCTTAACAAGACAACTCGATGACGATGACACCGTCATACAAGTTTATTTAACAGGATACATGACACAAATGCAGAGACGTAGTTATTGATCACAGCTGACATTCGCACATCGTTCATTTGTCCTCACAGCTCTCTAACTCTCAATGTGTAGTGACCTCTCCTGGACTATTGCAGATACCAGGATGACGGCGTCCCACTCTCTGGACGCGTCGTACAGCTGAACAGGACGACTTCTCCCATTCACTGGACCTTGATATTAATTCAGCATACAACACGGCTGACTGGAGACGGGACTTCTCTTGCCGTACTCTGAAACCAGACACTACTGGTCTTCCCGTCCCCTGGACTTAATTTGCCAGCGGGACCATATTTCCCATACCGCAATCCCGACACTTACTCGGACCTAAATGCCCGATAGTCGTACGGTATTCTAGTCGGTTAGACTCCAATGACCGACAGGACTTCTACCATAAGTCCTCTCATACTTTTGAC